TTTAGCTTTTATCTCAAGTGATTATTAACCCAAATAAACGACACGAGTTACCATTACTGTGATAAATTATTAATTGATTGCAAATCAATTACATCAGTAGTGACTGGAAAAACACTGGAATCCCAGGGCTTGGCTTGTCCTGTTTTTTAATTTGTTCATACACTGCTAAAGGTGTACCTAGAAAATTTTACTTTCTTTAACAAAGTACAAAATTCATCTCAGGGCTATGATGTTGAGGCTTACATACTTCACGAACGGCTTTTGTAGGTAGCGTTACCTTTTCTTAGCTATTGCCGTTCAATTGCATAGGATATGCTCTGTTTTCTTTGTCCCCTTCAGACATAGTCGAAATTAGTCATCTTTTAATAGTCATTTTTTTACGGCAGTATTTCACTGTAGCATGTCTCGTAAACATATCCTTTAGAGTTTTTAGTTCCTTGCTGTTGATTAGGACCTTCTCTTTTTCCCATCGGGCTGTTTTGCAAGTAGACTTTTTGCTAAGCCTGGCATAAGGGATTCGGGCTTATGTATTGTTCCGAGGCTCCGTTTTTAGCTAGGGTTTCTACTGCCTCGTTAACTGAAATTCCCACATGACCTGGAACCCACCGAGGCGTTAAATTATTTGTGAATTCCAGTTTTTTAGGCAGTTCCTCTGGCTATTTGGTTGTTTTATAATTGTTGCACCCTAGAGATGTTAGCCATTGATCCCATGTGCACATATTTCTATGGCAAGTAATTTGGCTTGAAAGATGGTTAGGGTGGAGCTCAAAGTCATGTGGTGCTCAGTTAGGCCTCTTTATCCCCATTCTCATATAATTTTTTCTGAGCAGTCTTTACATTTTTGAATAGATAAACGTTGGTGCTATTTTATTGAAGAACTGCAGTATTATTTCTTATTAAAATGAATGCATTTTTGGCTAATTCCAATTTCGGCGACGAGCGAAATTTGGTCCTACATTATTATTACTTATTCAGAAATCGTGAGGTGAGGTCTGGTGTGATGTAGGTTTCAGAAAAACATTTTTTCTATCGTGCCAACGTTTCGATCTTTATTGAGATCATCTTCAGGGCTCAAAGTGTTTGTCTTCTGTGTAATTGTGCCATTCTTGCGGGTCGTGTTGAGATAATAATATTGCTTCAAATAGCATGTTTCTTATTTAAACTCGCTTTTCTAATTCAGATAGCCAAAATGGTAAATATTATTAATAGATATTTCTGGTTGTTTTACCTGTAAGTGAAATCAAATCTGGAGTGGTTTTTAAATATTTACTTTCATCGGAAACGTAGAACTCACATCGAAAAAATGAGTGGCCTTCAAAATTGGCAATAGTGGTTGGATAGAAATTTATATTTTAAGCAAATGGTTTTTAGCGCTAAAGATCCTGAGTTAACAAAAAACACGCATTTTCTAAATTCAATTATTTTTAAGATAGGGTTCCTTCTGGCCAAACATGCAAATTTATTTAAAAATAGAACTGAAGCTTTAATTTAATGATTCTCAAGGTCAAATGAAAGATAGTGATTTCCAATTTTTTTTAAAGTCAACTTTATCCTTTAGAATAATATCAATTTGTGCTTGCTCCACATCATTTGCTTCAATCATTAAAAATTGATCTTAAGAGAAGTTGCCCAGTGGAAAGGAACGGTTTTGTTTTAATTTAATTTAACCAACCGGCAGTAACAAGGCCTGTCATCATGAAGTGAAGGTAGGTAGTACCCAAACTTTAATGTCCTGTTAAAAAAGAGAATTATTATATAAAGAGAACTTGTTTCTAAACGAATATAATGTCTACGAGTATTGAAAGGATACGCATAAAATATTTTTGCTGCACCCTTTACATTTACAAAGTTGAGCACCATACCTAACTATATAATAAAACTGAAGTTAAAACAATTGAACAGCGTGATTTTGCCTGCCCAAGAGGTAGATTTGAATACGACAAAGATTTGAATAATTTTGGATATTGCCAGTTTATTTTTATATACAAAATAGGTAGGTGCTTTGTTAAATTTTCCGGAGGACGAAATAGGAATCCCCATGTAAACGCTGGCGGCAGAAAGTATTTTATATGGCTACACTTCACGTCAGGACACTACCAGGGATAAGGTGTTGATGGCTTAAGGGTTTAAATTTAATTAAAAATTGAGAGTAATCGATTGCTTTGCTAAACACAAATTTATTATTTAAACAAAACAAAAAATTAAATTAAATTCTGGGCAGATTTGACAAACGTAAATATTTAAAGACTAGAAGTTAATGTAATTAATTAAACAATATAGATTAATATAAATAGTTACAGAAGATACAATAAAAGAAACTAATTGGCTTGATAAAGTGCAGCGATGTTTTGCTAAAAATATTGCATCCGCTGGTGTCCATATATCGACGAGTTAGATTCTGACGGTCGTGCATATCATAATCAGTTTGAATCTGACTGCAGAGGCAAGACCAGAAGGTACATCTCTTTGTACTGGTGGACATGTTGACGACGACTAAGGGGGGAGCAAAGAGTAATTACTTGAGGGCTACAGATTGAAAAATAACGACTTTCTCTCCCACCAGCCCTTTCTTAGATTTACAACTTTTCAACATTTACTTCCGCCGAAAAAGAAGAAAATATTAAAAAATTGAATGTGGGGGCGTTGGTGGCCGCAACAGTTTAAGCGTTGACACGGTGCTCATCACTATAAGGTAAAGGCCCCGGGTTCGAATCCCGCGGCCCTGCATTCGGGCCCGACATACTCACAAATGGTTTTTTTTTTCTAACAAACTGGCACCCCGAGGGTTATATAATCTCCACTGTTACGAACCCTCCTAAAAAAATTGAATGATTTATTATTAATAAAAAATGGTTACATTATCGCAATAAACCTATTTTCTGCAGGCCGGTCTACTTAATCATTCTTATTATTGAAATGGTACAACTGTACTTCAACTAAATTTACCAAGAGTCTATTCACCTTGCAATACTAACTTAGAAGCTGTAGTTTAAATGTGCGACTTGTCAAAAATAACATTAATAAGTGTTTAATTAATGCTAGTTACAATAGCACCTTTGCTTCGAAAAATGGTATCATATCTGCGATAAATATACAAAAAAAAAGAAGTGGAAATTTTTCTCCTTGAAGAACGCTTTTACTAATCTTAATTTTCCCCGAAGTCTTATCATTCGCATCATTTTTCATCTTAGCTTTAGAGTAAATATGTGGAAAAAATGCTTATAAATTTTGGACTGATACCCTAATTGAATCTCAAACAGCTTTGAGTGTGAGGTAGGATCAAAGGCGATGCTGAAGCCCATAAAGATGACAACAAATGATTTTATGTAGACGTAATTAAATGTTAATGATTCAACCAAATGTTTTCAGCCTACATTCCTTTAGAAAATGTCCACAATGCACTCCTCGTAATAAAATAAACATACAAGAGTTCTTCAATAAAACACCATCGATGTTCATGAATGAACAGCAACCAATTAAAAAGGGAAACCAAGTATTTTCTAATTTGTAATTTATTTTGTACAGTTCAACCATTTTTATTATGTTAAATTTGTCGAAAATTCTGGTAAATTCTTTCCACTGTCCTTTAAGTTCTCTGTTTTTGTAAGTTTTATAGTATGTGCATGTATGTTTGACGTTTGATGATATGTTGATGACGTTCATTGAAGCTATGGACTTTGAATGCACCGGTAATGCAACGTTATGACGTTATTTGGTCTTTTTGTAAGTAGTTCTTTTGGTCTTTTTCGTTTTACTTTTGACCATCATATGTAACTTGCATATGTAATTATGATATAACTATTGTAAGGGAAGACTATAAAATCATCTTAGAATTGAGCCACATGTTCTACGTCTTTGACATACATATTTTCCCTTTCGAGCACTGTCGTGGGCTGACCTCTGCTGTTACGAAACCCTGTTAGAAACAGTTTGTAACTTTTATTTCCCCTCAAAAGATAGCCATTGCCAAAAAGCGCCAAGGTTCAACACTTACATCATAGGCTGCTGGTTTGGTATATTTTATGAAAGTGACAACTTGAGCTTATTTTTGAAAACGAAACAAATTAATTATCTTATACTTTATGTACATAATACTAGTATAAGTAATCAAAACATTCACAGATTTTTAGTTACGAAAAAGAGCAAGCAAAACATGAAATCTTGTACTGGAGAATGCATTGATTATCGATTTAGAATAATTTTTAACTTATAATAAACAATTTCATTTAGTTTTATCCCAAAGTGACTAATAACTTCTTTAATATGGATTATATTTTATTTCTCCAATAAGGGCGCTATGTTCCAACAGTTACGCTACACCCACGAGTGATGCTGGTTCATTATATTATACGTGTTACGTAATTAAGCCCATTATTTAAAACGAAAAAGATTTTGTCAATCCATTATATACATAATAAATATTCAAAACAACTACTAAGGTTAGTAGTTTAGTTACCCAAACAGTTGAGACAGCAGAACACGGAATCTAGTACAAGGGGATGTTTTGATTATGGATATTATGCCTTTGTTGTGGTAATATTGGCCATTTCTTGCATTAATTATTCAACATTTGACGCGTTTGTGCATTTCATCTTCAGCGGTGCGATTGTATGATGACAAGATCAAAATACAGCTTCATCGCCATGTATACCTCAATTAATTATCTTACAAGTAAACCTTGTAATCTTTAAAAGCATGAAGGGGTAAAATTTTTGTCCCGGAGTGTATAAGAAATCTATTATTGATCACATTATTTAACGAGAGGTTTTCCAATATAAACTACTGGAAACCATGGGCTACAAAACTAACGTAATTTTCAGTTATTCCCGTATACTTATAAATTTAAAAGCTTAAAGCTGTAATTGATTTATGTTTTATTTTGAACGTCGTCGGGGGTGGTTTGCAGCTGTGTAGGAACAAGGGTTGCAGAATCCCGCTGGAATGCGCTTATGTCGCTTTCGACGTTTTCCTGCAATCCTGCCTGCCGACCAGTCCTTCGGCGACCCTCGTCGTGAAGTGATCCTTTTCCCTGGTCGAGTCGATTCCGGCCACTTTGCCGACTTCCTTCATTTCTCCGAGTAAGTATCGACGTGTTTTCGATTTAACCGGTTCGGAATTTTTTATTTTCAATTCGAGTATTCACGTGTCAAACGTGCGTCATATATCCTTTAACACGATCTAAGGAAATCCCTATGAAATCAGATGGAGATAAATAATTTTTTTTATTTTTTCAAATAGAGCTTAATTGTCTGGAAAATGTCCAACAATGGACGGAATATTACGTATTTTTAAAATGAAGTATACAGTTAACAAACTGTGATAATTTTACGTTAAAATAAATATAATAAATGTTCAATTTTTATTAAAAAGTTTGATAGTTTTACTCGTGATATGCAATAGATTGGGTCTATTTGAACCAAATCTTCGGCTTAATTGCATGCATTATTACCTCAATTGTTACCTAATACAGTTAGAAATTTTAATATACTATATTATTTATAAAAATTAATTATAGGAGATTATTAAGGAAATAGAATTAATCAAAGAACTAAACGAAAAAAACCATGGTTCTAAATTTTTTAATCAAAAGTAAAATATATCTTAACAAAAAAAATCGACACCGATAGTTGATATACAACGATCCACAATAATTACAATAATAATCGGTATTGTGAATTATGTAATTTTTAATCTTGTTAGGTTTTATATTAAGTTTTTTTCTTATGGAATAATCTGTAAATTTTTCGTTTTACCTTGCATTTTCTTAAAATGCAAGCACGTGGTTTTCATTACGGATCTTCAATCTACTATTGGCTATGAAAAAATCGAGTAATAAATCATGGATTTTAAATTAAAAAATTTTAATAAATCTAAGATATTAAAATCATGAGATGATGATTATAATATCTTTAAAAAAATTTAATATATATGTATGTTAGTACATTTATTTCTGTGATGTATGTATGACCTCTCTTTCGGGTTTTATGTAGGAAATATAACACAGTGCCGTTACACGGGAAATTACGTTGTTTGTACTTCTGTTTTCAATTCGAGTTGGTTTCAAATGTCATTTGTGTACTTTACCTAAATGATTCAATGCTCAAAGCTCAGCTTAGAAATCAGAGATACCGGCAATTGAATGAAAACCGTTACTTTGACAACTTATTGATTTGCATTTACGTTCAATTTTAAATTCAAAAAGAATCTTTACATCAGGTATTACTTATATTTTGCGTTATCTAAAGAGGGTTTAACACAGAAATATTATAGCAATATAATTTGTTTTTCCTTTTATTTTACTGTGGTTATGGTACCAAGTGTCATTAGTTTTCTAATTATGTTTAAGTAGTCAATCAGCCGAGCTGCTTTTATTAAACATAGTTCGTTTCTGGTCAGCCTATCCGCTGTTTTGGCCTTTCAAATAAATTTTACTAGCTCATGAAAAGCAATTTTATCTTTCTTAGTTGCCATATTATTGCATAGTAAGTATTATTAGATTATATTAAATCAAAGTATCCGTGTAAAAGGTATTTTAATTATAAGTTGGTTAAACCTGAACGACAAAGTTTAATCAATTACAGGCACAAACGTGTTGTTTAATTGTTTGTTTAAAGCTAACCCTTGTCTTTTATCACAATGGGATTGCGTTGAAGTTTAGTCTAGACAATTTAATTATCAGAAATTGGTAATTTCCAGCTTAGAAATGAGATGGTGGCAATTGAATTAAAATCTTTGTTTTGCATTTACTTTAAATTTTAAAGCTTTTTATTAATGAATTTTACGCCAGGTATGAAATTTTTGTTCTCAATATCTGCATAAGATACTCAGTAATGTTACAACTGGAAATTAATTTTTGAAATTTTTTCCTTTTATTTTAAAATAAAGCTTGTACTTTTACACAAGTACCAATTGTGTTTCTTTTGTTTTCATTTGTTAAACTCGTCGGATCAATGATACAAGCTTCTTTTATTTTAGTACGGCCATTTTCGATCCTCCTGATCCACGTATCCTCGCTGTTTTGATCTGTCAGACGGATTTGGCAAATATAGTTGTTGGCTAATTCATAAGAAAATAACTTTCCTTTTTTTTTGCAACCATACAATTACATATATTAAATTAAACATACAGATAGTAATATTTTATGTTAATTTTGTTATTCATCAACGTCAGATTTTAATCATAGATATAAACTTGTTGTTTCATTGTTTGGTAATTCTTAGAAATTGTCGTTTATAATATAGGATTTGCGTTGAAGTTTACTTTAGCTAAGACATTTCGAATATCAAAAAGTTGCCGCATTTACATTAAGTTTAAATTCTTTTTTGATTATTAATTTTTTATTTATATTTAATTACTCTCCTCAACTAGTCGAACTTTTTGATGATAGTACAGCCGTTTCAATTATCCTACACCGCTTATCCTCCCTATTGTATCTTTCAATAAATTTTGCCTATGTTTATTTCAACTAGTTCATACTAAATCAAATATATAAACAGTAAGGTTGTATAATAATTCTTTTAACCCTAAACTTCAAAGTTGATCATTTATAGAAAAAAAACTTATTGTTTAATTTCCTTGTAATAGCAAATGCATGTTTTTATTATTGGCATTGCGTTGAAGTTTATTTAGTCTAAACAATGTTAATATTAGTGAATTGTGTTTTTAGTTTGGTTTTTTTAATGGTTTCAATGCCAATTTGATTTACGAGATGCAATGATGGGTGGACAGATTTGTAGCCCGAGGTGGTCTTTCCAACGAAATCCTGTCCGATCATTGATGAAATTTTGTTGGTGCGAACAAATATTTAAAGGAAGTCATTCAATTTTTGAAACATAACAACTCAGACATTAGTGATTACCTAGCCTTTGTTGTCTCGCCCTGCTTATAACTCTGTCCAACCTTTTTCTTTTTTTTTTGTCGATCAAGTGAATTGATCCTGGGTTTTATCTTTTCTTGATCCCGGACGGATATTATGTGAGTATGTTTTCTTTTTATGTTATGCAACGTTCTGGGGTAAATGAAGTGTGTAAGTTGTTATTGATTTGTGTGTTCATAAGTTTCCTCATGTTGAATGTTTTATATATCTCTGTTTTCAAGTGTGTCCTTTTTTTATCGTGAGCCTATCAAAAACATAAATGGGTTGTTGAAAGTTCTTTTTGTGGGATGTGTTTCGTAGTTAGATTTTCCGCAATTGTTCTTAGAACGATTGGATAAGGTTTTTTTGCCAGTGTCGGCTGTATTTCATTAAACGAATCAACTGCAAGTCCATCACCAGGAACTCAGTTTTTTTTAGTCAAGTACTTTTCTGTCTTCTATATCAAAGTTTTACTTTTTGAAATGTATCAGTTTTATTTCCTTTGCTTTATCCCCCAACATTCGTCACTTAAATCTTGTCTTAGGAAAAATTTAATTGAACTTTTATTCATGGCATTCATTTTCATGTCTTATTATACTAAAAAACTTAGAAAAAATTAGTCATCCTTAATTATTTAACTATTTTTACTTGCTCAGAAAAATGTAAAAGCTTTAACAACTTATGAATTCAAGCACACTCTACATTGTTTATAATTCAGTTTGCAGGATAGGCCAGGACACTATCAGGGAACTATCAATGCAAATTAATTAAATTCTAAATTTAAAAACTAAGTTTAGCGACAATTTGCAATATTAAAATAAAATATGTTTTAACTGTAATGTAATATACAATACAAAACAGTAATAATACTCTGCCCATTGCACATTTCACTAGAATACAGAACAATTTTCTCCCCTGTGGATTTGCTCGTTGTGGCATAGATTTATTTTATTCCAACTCGTTTATTCCTCTTTTTACTGGACAAACCAGAAGGTACAAGTCGATAGTTTTCCCCCAATTTTTATTGAATGAAAAGAAACACTTGCATTTTAATTCGAGTTGCCTTTGTCTTTAAAATAATTTGCTGTTCCTCTGGGAGTTGAAGACTTTGCAATTATTCTCCTTTGTTTCTTTTCTTTTGGTGTCTTCATATCTCGGAGACTGTTTCATTATTTTATTGCTCCTAGACTTATCCATCTTTCCCTGACAATAAACTTATCAGGGCGTAATCTTCGTGCTGGCCTTAGCAACCTGTGACAATGGTTCCATGAAATAATTTCTTTTAGATCTATATTTTTGTAAAAAATTCCTCACAAAAAATCTCTTAATTAATTTTAATTTAGATTAAAAGATATCCTTAACATTTGTGATTCTCGGCATCATATGAGCTAATCGCTTTAATTGAAAAGATTTTTTTGAAGAGATGATTAATTACCAATTAATCTAAAATTAGTGTTACATTTAAGATTATTTTTAATATTTTTTAGTGGAAATTAATTTTTAAAATTTTTACTTTATTAGTTTTGAATACAATTTAGAATTGAGAAGAAATAGTTTTGCAACCCAGGAAGTTAAGATTATTACTTAGAGAAACAAACCAAAGACCGAGAGAAACAGTTTACAAGTATTCAAATGAAAGTCTCGAGAGACTTTTGACTTAATTTTGCAATTTTTACCACCAAATCCGTTCAATATACAGATGTTTGAGGGAATTTGCGTTAAATTCTGTTATGATGAAATGGGCGGGAGGAAAGAAGATTATGTAGTTCCTTCACGGAGTTTGTTCACTTCATTTAAATGATTCAACGCCCAAAGCCGTATGCAAGCAAATTAGGGGCCGCAACAATGGAATAAAGAGTTTTCCTTTGGTGTTAACCAATTTGCATTTACCTTGAATCGGAATTTCCTTTGTTTTTAGAGTTTTCGTCTTCATTGAAAAAAAAAAAAAAAATAGAAAAGATTTTGATTCGTTCTGCAGAAATTATGTTTAAGTCGGTGCTAAAAAATCAGTTCCCCAAGGAAGATAAAGCCCTTGTTTCAATTTCAATGACAAACTGTTGACTATAATTCTAAAATAATAATTATAATCTTTCTTTGGTCTTTAATATTTGGCTCCAGCAACAAGTGAACATGGGAGTTGAAATAACTTGAAAACCTATGGAGCAAGGTATGGGTTGTACGCTGGAGAAGTTCGTATCCCCGTTCATTAATTTTTAATGTAAT